GAAAGAGAGTAAGGGTTTTTCTCTTCCAAGCTGCCTGGGTCTAGAATCCATCCTCTCCACTTATAGATGTCCTACTCCCAGTCAGGGTCCTACTGGACATTCATCAAAGGGTCCCCATCATGGGATCTCATTTGCCTCCATTTGTCTTTTTTTAAAATATGTGTTTTAAAAATATATATATACAGGGCCTTACTATATTGCCCAGGCTAGTCTTGAACTCCTGGGCTCAAGTGATCCTGCTGCCTCAGCCTCCCAAAGTGGTAGGATTACAGGTGTGAGCTACTGTGCCTGGCTCTTCATTTGCTTTAAGGTAGTCAGAGTCCATACCTGAGGGAGTTGCTGAGAGGACTTGAGTCACACATCTGTCCCTCTTTCCTATTTGGTTCATGGCTTCCTGTTCTTACTCTGCACCTCCCCAGCCTCCACATTGAGCCAATCTGCAGTTTCTGGCACATCTTCATCAAAGGCACTGGTTTTCAACTAGGGATGACTGTGTGCCCCAGGGGATATTTGGCAGTGTCTGGAGACTTTTTGGTTGTCATGACCTGGGGACAGTGTGTTCTACTGGCATCTAGTGGGTAAAGGTCAGGGATGTTACTAAATATCCTGCAATTTACAGGACAGCCCCCCAGCACATAGAATTATCTAGTTCTAAATGTCAATAAAAAGATTGAGAAACCCTGATGTAAGGGGTGGTCCACGAATCCCTTTGTGTTTGCCTGCTTCCATCTCCGTGTTTAAGAGCTTTTGTTAACCTCAAAAGCATCACCTCCCCAGTAGATGGCTTCTCATCTCTTAAGTTTTCCTTCACTCTCACTCCAGTCAGAGTTGATCCTCACTATAGGGTTTCTAAACTGCTTGTGTCCATTCATTGTAGCATTTACCACATTTGCCTTCTAATAGCCCCCTTCAACATGATATGTTCTTTCTCCTTTGAGAGTAAAGTAAGAGCTTGATTATGAGGATGACCATTGAAATCCCATATATTGTTGTTATCATATAATAATATTATAAGGCCCCAAACCTCGGCACTAGGGGAGTCAGTGGCACATAGTGGAGTCAGCCCAGAACATAGTGTCAGGAGATTCAGTCTGGTATCCAACTATAATTGTCCGGCTCTGTGATAAAAGATATAACTTTCCTGAGCTTTATTTAGCTTCCACATAGGTAAGGCAGAAATAATATCCATTTCCTAAGATTGTTTGAGTCTGTGAGATGTTAGCATAGAACCTGGTCCATAGTGGTCATTCAAATATGGATTGAATCGAGAAAATGAAGCCCAGGTTCCAGACGTGACCCTGATAATAATTGGCTCATGGGGAAAAATTGAAACTGTTTCTTACTACCTTGACAGCAGCAATCTTAATTCCAGGCAGCCACCTCACCATTACGCTTCATGAGTATGAAGAGAAACCCTACTGATGTTGGGCTGGTAGCACATCCTATTCACTGTGGAATTAGTAGAAAGTGTTGGTCCTTTGTCCTAATTTCATGGAAGCAAAGGGAAATCGCATACACTTCTGACCCCCATTATTTTATAGAGGAAATATTTCTCCCTCTCTTGGAACACTGGGACCCTAGAATCATACCCTGAAGGTTGGGAGGTCTGCCCTGACCTGGGTACCCAGAAGTCTGCTGCTTTGTAAAGGGACTGCTGAGGCCTGAGAGGGATACCACATCCACTTAGACCCATGACTTTCTGGTACATGGAGACAAGCACAGAGGAAGTGGTATTATGTTTTGTTCAGACATTATAAGACATTTAGCTTTTTCCACCAAGCTAAAAGGTTAGTGACAGTTGATCCTGTGGGCAAAGACAATTGCCATATGCTCTTAGGGATAGAGTTATAAAAATCATTTAATTATTAAACAATGGAAGTACTATCTAGTATTTGGTCAGAGGATTTCAAACTTCCTCCATATATGGCCTTATCTCTAGAACAGAATGGAAGTCTGTCCACATCAGGGAAAGAGCTGATTCCATCCTTGGAGATAACTTTGAAAGGCCTTAAGGCCTGTCAAAATGTCATTGGTTTTCCATTCTGTCAGTTGCTAAAGACGTAGTACACTAGTAGGTCATGGGTCAGAGGCCAGCAGACAGATTGTATATGATCAGTTAGGCATCAGTGATGACAGGGTTCACAAAGCTAACAGCTGTGTAGGTGGCTCCTCACCCTATTTGCACTCTTTGATTTCTCCTAAGCCACTTTACTCCACATCTCAGGACTTAGCTCTTCACTGTAAATATACTCTTTCTACTCCTCACTCTTAATGGATGTTTGTGTTTTCTTGTCAGCCAGATGTACTGACTGTGGTTAAGGATCTAGGCTTTGGAATTGGGAATACCTGGCTTTGAATCCTAGCTGTTGTCTGTTGCTTGTGTGACTGAGTCAAGTGACTTGGTCATTCAAGCCTTGGTTTCCCAATATGGAAAATCAAGTTGATACTTAGCTCATAGGGTTATTATGAGGATCAAATTAAATGAGAAAATAAATATAAAGCACAGTGCCTGACATCCTATAATTTTATCCAGTTGGTGGAAGTAGTAGTCGTTACATTTTTTGAGGGCAGAGACACTATGGTTTTGAACTCTTCCTCCTTGTACCCGGTCTCTTAGAGCTGAGCATCTAGTAACACTCAAATATTTTAAAATTTGAAATGACAGGTACACACACACACACACACACACACACACACACACACACTCTCTCTCTCTTAGAGGATCATCTGATAATTTAAAACACTCTAGAGGTCATGATTTTAAAGTGTTTGAGCTTATTTTTATAAATATGATACATAAGGGGTCTAATTCATGGATTGGAAGAATAAATATTATTAAAATGTTCATACTACCCAAAACAATGTACAGTCAATGCAATCCCTATCAAAATATGAATGATTCTTCACAGAAATAGAGAAAGCAATTCAAAAATTTATATTGGAACCACAGACAACCCAGAATAACCAAAGCTATCCATAGCAAAAAGAACAAAAATGGAAGAATCACATTACCTAACTTCAAATTATACAGAGTTATAGTAACCAAAACAGCATGATATTGGCATAAAAACAGACGCATAGACCTGTGAAACAGAAGTGGGCAAAGATTTCATGGGTAATACCTGGACAAGCACAGGCAACCAAAGCAAAAATGAACAAATGGAATCGCTTCAAGTTAAAAAAAACTTCTGCACAGCAAGGGGGACAATTAAAGTGAAGGGACAACCCACACAACATGGGAGAAAATATTTACAAACTACCTTTCTGACAAAGGACTAATAATCAATGTATAAAGAACTCAAACAACTCGACAGGAAAAAAATCTAATAATCCCATTAAAAATGGGCAAGGGATTTGAATAGACATTTCTCAGAAGAAGACATACAAATGGCAAACAGGCATAGGAAAAAGTGCTCAGCATCGTTTATCAAAAATGCAAATCAAAACTACAATGAGATATCACCTCACCCCAGTTAAAATGACCTTTATCCAAAAGGCAGGCAATAAATAACAAATGCTGGTGAGGATATGGAGAAAAGGGACCCCTTGTACACTGTTGGTGGGAATGGAATTTCCCACTGCGAAGAACAGTTTGGAGGTTCCTCTAAAAACTAAAAATAGAGCTATCATATGATCCAGCAATCCCACTGCTGGCTGTATACCCCACAAAAAGGAAATCAGTATATCCAAGAGATATCTGCACTCTCATGTTTATTGCAGCACTATTGACAATAGCCAAGATTTGGAAGCAACCTATGTGCCCATCAACAGATGAATGGATAAAGAAAAATGTGGTACATATACACAATGAAGTACTATTCAACCATAAAAATGAGATCCTATCATTTGCAACAACATGAATAGAACTGGAGATCATTATGTTAAGTGAAATAAGCCAGGAGCAGAAAGACAAATGTAGCATATTCTCAGTTATTTGTTGGAGCTAAACATTAAAAGAATTGAACTCATGGAGATAGAGAGTAGAAGGATAGAAGGATGGTTACCAGAGGCTGGGAAAGGTAGTAGGGTGAGCAATGGGGGGAAAATAGGGATGGTTCGTGGGTACAAAAAAATAGAATGAATAAAACCTAGTATTTGCCAGCACAACAGGGTAACTATTGTAAAAAAATAATTTAATTGTATGTTTACAAATAACAGTATAATTAAAAGGATAAATACTTGAGGTGATGAATCCCTCATTTACCCTGATGTGATTATGTATCACATGCCCACATGCCTGTATCAAAATATTTCATGTAACCCATAAATATATACACCTACCATGTACCTACAAAACCAAACATTTAAAAAGGGGTTCTAAGATATATGTGAGTTACTGATCTTTGCAGTAAGTTCGATGATTTGAAGGGAAAGCATCTGAGCTATATCATCTCAGCCCTCTGCCAAAATAACTTCACTTGATTATGATTTACTTTCCCATGCCCTGTCTTCTGGAGGATCCATGTAGGAATGGCCTATTGACCAGCCTGGCCAACATGGCAGACCCCCCCCATCTCTACTAAATAAAAAATTAGACTGGCATGGTGGCACGCACATGTAGTCCCAGCTACTTGGAAGGCTGAGGCAGGAGAATCGCTTGAACCTGGGAGGCAGAGGTTGCAGTGAGCCGAGATTGTGCCACTGCACTCCAGCCTGGGCAACAGAGCGAGACTCCGTCTCAAGAAAAAAAAAAAGAAAAAAAAAAAGGCCTATTGAGTGTGTGTGACTGCATCTTTCCAAACTAAGCCTCCTGCTTTACCCATTTTCTCTTAAACACGGTTCTAAGACATTCTTCTTGAGTTTCCCTTCAAAAGAATTTATCTCTGTATAAGAATAAACATTTGTCTTTGTTAAATGATAAGAATAGGGTCCCTTAAAATACATTTCCATATTTGCTCTTGATACTGGGAATCACAGGGTCAAATTCAGTGCCAGGTGAAGGGTGGAGGACATTGTAATTGTTCCCCTTCTCACAATGTCTCTTCTCCCTCCCTCCCCAGTCCCTTCCATAGGAAACAGGGAATGTTTGTTTTTGTCTTCTGGTAGGAGAGGGATTGGTCCCACCCTCAGCTCCAGGGATAGATCTTGATTGTTTAAGCCCAGTCAGGTAAACCCCACACCTGTTGAACAGTGATTAACCCAGTGGCAGTCACGCCAAGAGGGTTTGTTCATGGCTGGGCATGTGACCTGTGCAGGCCATCAGCATGCTTGCTGAGGACTTTCGAAAGAAGGCTCTTCAGTCTTCTGATAGACCTCTCCAAGACAGCCCTCTCTCTGTGTCCTTCTGGATGTTTGGGACATGAAGCCTGGGGCTGCTGGAGTTATCTTGCTGTCATGAGGAAAGCTACCCCTAGGATGTGGTTAACGAAGTAGAAAGAAAGAAAATAGGCCCTTGTTTTCATCATAGAGCAACTGACTCAAACTCAACCTGAAGCCGCTGAACTTTCCATTTGCATGTGCCGGCATATCACCTTTATCGTGTCAGCCCTTTCAAATTAGGTTTCTTACTTGCATCTTAGAATCCAAATGGTGCTTGACAGATACATTTCCTTGTATTTTAGTGATTCTAACCCGTGGATCAAGACCCTGCCTTGGAGGTTGGGGAGCAGAGGGCTGGAAGGGCTCTATTTTGTCAAGGAATGGATTGTTTATGTGAGCATATTTATGCAAAGTAAGGAAATGTCTTGCCTATATATGTATTAATATTTTTCAAATTTATCTTGCTGTTTTGATGAAATGTAAATTTTGATAAAAGTACTGAATTTGTAGGTTTTTATCCTGTATTTTTCACAATGAGCAGATGTTAGAAGCATCATATGAATTTGTCCAAAAAGATTTTTTTTTGCAGAAATTTTTGACATGAGGAAGAAGCCCTTGCTTAGATAGATGTTTCCACCCTCGGTCTCTCCTTCCTTTCCTTTCCTTCTTCTCTTCTCCTGCCATCACTCCCTGCTCCCTTCCTTTTTTTCTCTCTTTCTCTGAGTCTGTTATTACCCTGTTTTCCTTCTGTTGAGTCTTGTTACTCAAACTCTGTTAGAAATAGTTGAGACATAAATTCTAATTAATTTTATTTGGATGGCTATGTTAAGGTTCATTTAACTTTTCAGGGCCTGCATCGATGAGCTCTACATAAATGCAAAAAAATAATGGGTATTGAGTGCTTTAATAGCAAGGGACCCAAACTGAAGTTCATTCCGCATGCAACAAATTGGGTGTTGGATGGGAATGCCTATAATGATTGACCCCTGTTTTTTGTAGTAAGCAAGAAACTGCAAGTGAACTCCTGTAATTGATGTATTTAACAAGTGCTCACTGTGAGCACATTGCCATTAGTGTAGCTGAGTGGTACAGTACTGAACCCTTATCTCAAAGATCTTATAGTTCATTGGAGAGAAGAGACATGTACACCAGATATTGTGTAAGCCAGGGCAAGGTTTTTTTTTTTTTTTTTTTTTTTTTTGAGACGGAGTCTCGCTCTGTCGCCCAGGCTGGAGTGCGGTGGCCGGATCTCAGCTCACTGCAAGCTCCGCCTCCCGGGTTCACGCCATTCTCCTGCCTCAGCCTCCTGAGTAGCTGGGACTACAGGCGCCTGCCACCTCGCCCGGCTAGTTTTTTATATGTTTTTAGTAGAGACGGGGTTTCACCGTGTTAGCTAGGATGGTCTTGATCTCCTGACCTCATGATCCGCCCGTCTTGGCCTCCCAAAGTGCTGGGATTACAGGCTTGAGCCACCGTGCCCGGCCAGCCAGGGCTATGTTTTATAAGGGAATACATAAGTTGACATTCTGGAACCTCTTTCTTAGAATTATCCTACCAGAAGAGCCCTCTAGAACCTTGTGTTTAGTAAATATTGATCACCGCCATTATAAAATATGCTGTTTGTTAATAAAAACATATTCTCTTCTGCCTTTTTCTTGGCCATTTTTTTAGCTATACACAGCAGTTTTTTTATTTTGTTTTTTTGCCATAGAACCAACATTTTGGCACTACCGCCCACTCTCAGTCATGTGTGCACATGCACGCACACACACCAAGTTTGCTGCAAGTACAGCATTACAATAATTCAAAATTATAACTGTCTCTCATGGAAAAGAGTCTGCCTGCTGGTTCGGCATGGGGATAAGTGAACTAGCTGAACTGTACTCATTTATTTCCTACTAAACAATGTATAGCTGAATGCAAGTGAGAGAGACTTACAAGGACAACCTTGAACTATCTCCCAGTTTGTTCAAAACAAAACCAAAGAAACTTACCAACTCTGGTATTTCATGTCAGCAGTGACAAAGGCTCACTGAGCTCCCCAGTAGGTGCCTAGCCGTGCATGCTCCTTCTAGAATGCCAGCGGGAAGGCCACGCTGAGCAGCCAGCTGGCTGTGGAGCCCTTATTCTAAGACTATGCTGCCGCTTTCTTGTGACACTGGAGTCAAAAGCAAAAAGGGGCTTGCAGCCAGTAACCAAAGGGCTGTATTCAAGCAGTGACCTATTTTTACACTGTAATCGGGTTGGGTTTCTCTTTTTCCCTCCCAGGGCAGTAATCTCAAATTCTTCTGAGTGCTCGAGAAGCCAGTTCCCTGTTACCTCTTTGGCTTGGTTGTTTTTCACTTTAACGTAGGTCACTCTTAACTTGAGGACAGGAATATCTGTTCCTTTTCCCTGATTTGAGGGTAGAAGTTGGTTTATGTGTACAAAATGGAGAGATAGGAAAACATGAACCAAGGTAAGGATAGATGGCTTCTGAGGAGGAACAAAACCTGGTGAACTAGATAGAGAAAGGTATTTGGGATCATAGGTCCAGGGTCCTGCCCTTTCAAACCCTATCACACATATGAAGTAATTACTTAGCTTAGTCATCAGATTTTGCTTGTGCTTCATATGTGCTGGGTGTCAGATGCATAGTAATAAAAAGGTAGAACTCTTGCCTCAGCCCACAGTCTTGTGGGGGAGGAATCTTGTACCTACAATTACAATGCAGTGCCGCCAGTGCAGCAAGGGAGTTGGGCCTGAATGAGGGTGTTAGATGCTGCTGGGGAGGGGGTACTAAGAAGGGTATCAGAGGAATTTCTCCTGAGCTTCTTATTCAGACCCTTTGCTACTCCAGCCTGTCTCGCTTCCATCAGACCAGTGCCTAGCCTGTGTTAGGTTTTTTGTTTGCTTGTTTGTTGCCATTTAGGTCTATGCTATGTATGATCTGCAAGGGTCAGTTCTTCAGGTGGGATTTTCATGTCTCTTCAAGGAGAACTTTGGGACCAGAAGCCAGTGTGCCACATGGCTCCATCCTCCCAAAGGTGATATGCCTTGGGACCTTTGTGCCTAGGATGATACATACTCCTGTCTCCTCTGCCTGGACAACTTCTTTTCATCCTTTAAGACTTGTTTTTAGCATAAGTCCTGCCTCATTTATAAGTTCTGCCCTGATGTCCTGATAGTTCTTGTCTGGTGTCTCCATTGCCTTTTTCCTCTTTTCTTAGCATATAGAGCCTTGAGCTTCAACTCATGCTTCAACTCGTCTATTTACACCCGTATATATCTGTGTTCCCCCACTGCACTGTGAATCTCAGACACAGGGCCTATGTTTTATTCACCTAGGACATACCAGTTGCTTAGCAATGGTGAGTCACATGAAGGAATTATGTGTGTCATGTGAATGAAGTTCCCATCTGGCACCAAGATGGCTAAAGATATCAAGAGGGCTGCAAAAGATTCTTGATTGAGTCTCAGACTTTTTGAGCTCATTGAATGTCCTTTGTACTGAAAAGGATATGAGGAAGATTTTGCAGGATAAAGCCTAGGGGGACGTAAAAAGTGGCCTGCTGGGATTTGGGAGACAGAGATCAGTAAAGAGAGGTGTATACACCACAACATAGCAGGGAGAATGTCTAAGGGAACACCCCCATTTAGGTGTTTCTTAACTTTTATATGTAATATACTCCTGAACACAGGACAAAAATTCACATTATCTGGCAGATGTTATCATGTCTCAGCATGGCGTGGTCGTGTGCCAACTAGTTGTATCAAAGTCTGAATTCAGCATTCAAAAGGTGATTGGGAAGTATCCATGTTTGCTATAGGCAGAAGTTGAGGTTGTTTGTGTAACAGCCTTCCTGGTACTTCCTGGTAACAGGGAGAAATCTATCACAGGTGCTTGATAAAGATGAATGTAGTGATTAAACGAACCCTAAGACCAGCCTTGCGTAAGTTTCTCCTGACTCTGTCATAGTTTGGACCTTACATTTTGAAAAATACTGATACATATCAAGAATTTTCGTAGATTAAAAGACAGCTATGTACACCAGAGGGTGCTGTGTTTCAATTTTCATATCTCTTTCTTTTCCACTGCTGTGGTTGTATGCTGCGTGATTCATTTGAGGACTAGCCAGTTGAGAATTTGCCCTCAACAAAGGACTGTTGAAGACCTGAACACACCCTACCCACTTGCTGTTTTCCCAGCATAACAGATGAGTTCAGACACGGCTATACCACACTACCCAGGTCTGCTTTGCTGTATATTAGTTCTTAACCATTGAGTTCTTTGTTTAAAACTAGACCTTTTTTTTTTTTTTTTTTTTTTTTTTTTTTTTAATGCTGCAGCTTAAGTCCATTTTCAATATTCTTTCTTTGGTGAAAATGGAGACCATCTGGTTATCATCCTCTGTGTAATAACAATGATTGAAGATGGTTATTAAGTCACCCTTCGGCCTCTTCTCTTGCCTAGGCAAAATTGTCTTCATTTCTGTGGCCATTACCCATAAATCTCATTTTCCAACCCTTTAATCATCTTGGTGGCTTCCTTTGAAAACTACTTCAAAGGCTGTTTCACTGCCTCTATTTTGGTGGGGTCTGGGCTGTCAGCATTTAATGGATACAGAATGTGGTTGTTTTAACCATCTAGTTTCCATAGCTAGTTTCCACATCTCCAGGCCAATCACTATCATTAACCATCAGGAGCTGCTTTACCATCTTTTCATTGTGATTACTTTATAAATATTATTGATTAATGTGTTGCTTTGACTGAAAATACAAATTTTAGCTTGTGAATAATTTTAGCTATTGGCTGATAGAATTTTACAGCCTCATTTATGGCGTTTGAGGTTCTTTTCTAAGCTATTTGATTGTAAGTGAGTATGTTATCTCTTATTAGAGGATATATTAATTTTCCTGTGTGTTATTCATTTATTAACTTATCTCCAATTGCCTACCATGTGTCAGGCTCTGTACTAGGGATTGAGGACCCAAAGATAAACAAAACATGGGGCCTAATTCAAGGAGTTCACAATCTGGAGAGAAAGTCAACCACATACAAAAAAATTAAAGGTAGAAAGTGCTATAAAAAATGATTTAGGTACATCGGAAGTTTAGAAAAGCTTCACTGAGGATATAATATTTGAATTGGGTCTGAGCATGAATTCGTCTTCAGGTGAGGGAGGGGGTTAAAGAAAACTCTAATGAAGGGACTCTAGTATGTGTGAAGGCAAGGAGGCTGGTGTGTTTAGGTTGCAGTAAACCAAGTATGCTGGGCTTGGACTTGAGTGACTGGAAAGACAGAAAGATGCAATGCTGAGAAAAACTGCTCATGCCAAGCCGAGAAATGTTCAACAGAAACATAAGGTGAGCTGCATGTGTCATTTAAAATGTTCTAGGAGCCACATTTAAAAAAAAAAATCAAAATTAACA